TGTTCTGTGCTCCAGGTGTGTCTGTGCTGAGCAGCCTTTGCAGGTGTTGTTCTGTGCTCCAGGTGTGTCTGTGCTGAGCAGCCTTTGCAGGTGTTTCCCTCAGCCAAGGTTTGAGTGTGGCCCCCTCTCTGGCACAGTTGCTGCAGTCACATCCTCCTTGTGCTTGTCTTGGCACCAGCCTCAGGCACGGGGTGCTGCTCAGAGAACCACAGAGCCAGCAGGCAGCACTTAGTGCAGTTTCACAGAATTTATATTAATAGAGGTATAAATTTGGGAAAGATCAGTTTTTAATTTTCACATCAGCAGCAAATAGCCTCCTGATCAATGTGAAGGCCTTTTAAAACAATTTAGTTTAATTTACTCATAATTTTCTAATATTCCCTGCGACGGTTACATGCACTAAAAATAGCTGGATTGAATCAATTTGTGAGCCCTAATCCTTAAAAAGAGGAAGTCGTTTTCTCATCATTATTCTTCATACTTAATTATTTTACATTACCAGTCGCCATAGAAACACACAAATGTAATTCACTTACCGACGTGGCAATTATTAGAACTCGATCTTGCAAGTGTTTCCAACTTCTTTGAGACTGAAGGAACACATTTTTCATTAGGGAGAGACCTGACCCTGAGAAGGAGCCCTGCAGGCCCCTGGCAGGCAGGACACCTCGTGCTGTGCCTTAGGCAGCACATCCTGGGGCCCAGTGCTGCTGGAGCACTGCTCACCCATCTAACCCCAAGGCAGCTTTTCCCCCGTTCTCCAGGATGCACAGGGATTTTTAAAAATGTTTTTTTACTGCAGGGCCAGTGAGTGGTGGAGGCAGCAGCACTGCAGGGGCACAGCCTGGTGCCTGGGAGCTCTTGGTGTGACAGTGGCTCTGGGGGTGCTGCTGTGACAGTGATTTGGTTTTGGTTTTTGTTTTTTTTTTCTACATTCCTTTGCTAGTTTTAAAAGGATGGGCAGGGCAGCAGGGTTAGATCAGACCAGCACAGGATTACAAAGCCCAGCGTTTCCACTTGATCCCAGGGGCTGGTTCCTCCTGGTTCCTGCAGCAGAATGCAAACCCAGGCAGCAGGGATGGAAGTTGGGCTTTAGGATCGTGGAGCTTGCTCCCAGCAGTGTTTTGTTACTGGTTCCAGTGCAGGGAACCCGTTGGCTTTTTTCCACTTCTTTGCATATGGCTGTGGAAATCACTATTGGTTTTGATTGTAGGGAAAACTGGTTTTCATCCATGGTTTGAAAACGTCCTTAATCCAAACCCTGATGTAAACAATGACTTATTCTCTGAGGATGTTGGAGTGTACATAACATGCTACCTGAGATAGCCATAAATGAATGGTGCCTAAAATCACAATATTTTACTGTGAAACTGTTATGAAATCTATTGCCTTCTCCCTTTGGGTGCATTAAAATAGTTACTGCATTTACGAACCAGATGGATTAAAGTAGATTTTTGTCAAAGCCCTGAGTTTTTTTTCTCAGAGCAGAATTGGAATCCAGCACAGTAAGACTGAATTGTTTTCTGCAGGACAGTGTCTGCCCCTGGGAACTGGGGGTGCCCAGGAGGAGCTCTGAGGTTTGGGGGGTGCCCAGGAGGAGCTCTGAGCTTTGGGGGTGCCCAGGATGAGCTCTGAGCTTTGGGCAGGGTTTCTGGGAGCCCCTGGGAGCTGGGGGTGCCCATGAGGAGCTCTGAGGTTTGGGGGGTGCCCAGGATGAGCTCTGAGGTTTGGGGGTGCCCAGGATGAGCTCTGAGCTTTGGGGGTGCCCAGGAGGAGCTCTGAGCTTTGGGGGGTGCCCAGGAGGAGCTCTGAGGTTTGGGGGTGCCCAGGGTGAGCTCTGAGGTTTGGGGGTGCCCAGGAGGAGCTCTGAGGTTTGGGGGTGCCCAGGAGGAGCTCTGAGGTTTGGGGGTGCCCAGGATGAGCTCTGAGCTTTGGGCAGGGTTCCTGGGAGCCCTGTTGTCTGGCAATATCCTGCACATCTGGCCTGTTTGGCTGTAGTTAGCATAATGCTTGCTGGTTAATTAGGCTTTTTATCTTTGCATTTGTCTGGGAACATCTGAAGCCTTCCATGTTGCCTGTCACTAATTAGTTGACTAATTAAATAGTTAGTGCTTACTTGCTGATCACAGAGCTAACACGGGATGAATGGGTTAGTGATGGCCATTGTTGTGTCCTATTTGTCTTTGCCACACGAGGTGTGCTTCCCTGTGCCTTCCCCTGGAGCCAGCAGCCCCCATCCCTCAGCCATTGTTGCCTTCCTTGGCCCGTGCTGAGCCGAGCTGGGGCTGTGACACAGAGAAATCCCACGGGTCAGAGCTGGCCGTGTCACACAGGGACTGATAGCAGAGATGTGGGTCACCATCAGCCTTCCCAACAGCCTCTGCCACGCAATGGCACTCTGGTAGCATCAGCATGGCTTTCTTTTATAGCTACACTCTTGCTTTTGGGACTGTCTGCAGCTTTAAATAAGATTATTTCAGCTTTAAATGCTTGCCCTGTGAACATATGCAAACACTTCTCTGAGCCAAACTGCTCATTCACACTTGAAATTTGTAAGCGTTTGGAGATTTTCTCTTGTTACTATTTATATTTGAATACTTCTGTAGGAACTTTCCATGTTGATTTTAGTCACCTAGATTGAGAAAATGCTGCAAATCCCGAGTGGATGCTCTGGTTTTTTTTTTAAGCAAAACCAGTTGCTGGGAATTGAGAGGTGACTGGAAGGGACAAAAGCAGTGAAGCCACAGGAGGGGGCTGAGGTGTTTCAGAGTAAGGAGTGGATGGGAGTTCCAAAGAGCAAACTAGAAAATGCATGTTTGGTAATGTTCAGTGAGAAATCAAGATTGTGGACTGATGTAAAGCCACCTAAAAAATTAGGAATTAGTAAAGGGATTGGAAGGCAACAACGAGTTGCTGGTGTGTTTAATTACATTGTCTAGGAAAAGGATGAGCACAGAGGATGAGAGACCAGCAATGTAACCACAGTAAAATAAGTGCAGAGAAGGAAATGTAGGACTAACCACCTGAAGGGGGAAGAGTGGGAGCAGTAGTTCATGTCACCTAGCAGGAGAATCCAAATTGAACTGGAGAAGAAGAGCTTCTGAGGCAGGATTGCCCTGGGTTTGGCTGGCATGGAGTTAATTTTCTTCCTAATAGCTGTGTTTGGATTGCATATGAGAAAGTGTTGATAACTGGCTGATGTAATTGTTACTAAGTAGTGAGCAGCCATCGAGTTCAAAGTTTGGTGAGGGACCCAGCTAGCAGAGGTGGAGAGAGAAGCACTCCCAACATCCTTGAAGGGTGTTAGTCAAAGAGTGAAGGAAATGGATTTGAATGGATTCTTGCTAAGATGTCAAAAGTGGTGACAGTGGTGGCTTTCATGTCCTGGACTTAGAGGTTGGTCTTCTTAGGATGGCAGCATCTGATAAAATTACCAATAAACCCAGCAGGAAAAAAAAAAAACCAAAGCACTGTTTCATCAAAATAGAAGTTTTTCAAGGGACCCTGTTGTTTTAATACCAGCAGGAAGCAACTGGGCCATGATGAAATATTTTGCTGAGCCAGGAAGAGTTGTCATGGGCCAGGTTGTGTGGAAAGCCCCTCCTTGACCCTTGCATTGACAAGTGTCCCAGTAAACACTGTGCTGTTAGCCCTTCTTTTATTGAGCAGATTCCTTCAAAAATCTATTTTCCCTAGGCTGATCCAAGGGAGAACTGGCTAATCTTTGTTTAGTGCTAATTGAAGAGGGGTAACTTGGAGATGGACATGTGTTGGTCAGCAGTGAATCTTCAATCCTGCTCTGGGGCTGGAATTGAGGTGCTTGTGGTAGGTGTTGGTAGAGACAAGAAACCCTGGCAAGAAAACTTGCAGCAGAGTGCAGCTGTGTGGGGAGGCAGAGGCAGCCCAGGGCAAGGAGGATGCTGGGGCTGGCACAGGGAGAACCAGCACAGGAACACATGGCTCTGAAAGTGGCTCCAAGCACAGCTGTAGTGCTGGGTGAGCACATTTATCCTGGAGGGACACCTTCAGTGAGGGGCATTTCCTTCTGCTTATTCCTGTGGGCAGCTGCAGCTTGGTGTGGAGCTGGGCAATCTGCTAGAATGCCTTTTCCTTTTGGAGAACTCTGTACTCCCAGTCACGTCCCCATTGCTGTGTTCTTGAAATGTTTCTTCAATAAAAAGTCCTGCTTTAGGATGAATTGTCACAGTGGCAGGCAAAAGGAGAGCTGTGTCCATCTGCCTCGTGCAGACAGACCAGTTCCTGTGCCTTGAGCACAGGTTATGGCCTGGTGAGACTTTTTTTATAAGGGCTTTGCTGCAGTGAAGCTGAGGATCCAGTGTCATTAAGACTTCCCTTTTGGATGGGTTGTAATTTCAGATATTATTGTTTAAAGATTATGTACGCAGGAGAACAGTTCACATAGTTACCAATTTTAGGAGGCAGATAAAGCATTATCTTCTGTCACTCCTTTATTTTAGTTTTTATTGATGACTGGGAAAAGAATCTTTAAAAATGCAGGATTTCAAATAAATTGAAATGCTCGGGTTCATGGAGACTACTTTGCTGTGCTTTATTTTTTTGTAGCAGAAGTGATTTGACTTGTTGTGATAATGAGGGGTTTAATGAAAGCAATTAATTAAATTATTTGTTCAGGCAGCTTCCACCATCTAAGCTTCCATCATTATGCCACACACAGGAGAGGGGAAAAAAAAAAAGGTAGCAAGACATCAGGCAAAAAAATCCAGCAAAATGAGCAAGGAATGCTCTAACAGATTAACAAACACCAGGATATATGTAAAGAAACTCTACTAAAACTTTTCTGTGTGTCCTTTGGATTGTGCTCAGTAAATTGGTGACCCTGTTTTATTTTGAGGACAAGGGTGTTCAGATTTTTTTTTTTTTTTTGTGGCCGTCCTCTAGAGCAGTGCACTGAAACCCAACACCTTTTACTTATTTCCCTAGATACTCTAATCCCTCCCTGCTTTACCAGTGTCTTCGAGCTGTTCCTCCCTCTGTATCCACAGCAACGTGAATCCCTGCTGGAATTATTTGCTTCTAAAATGCAGGTGCACTTGTTTAACGTTGTGCTGGCTCAGGGCTCTTAACTTGAAGACTTTTTCCCAGATGGGAACCTCCACTCTGCCCTGTTTCATGTTGGGCATTGTTGTGTTTGTGGGCAGCATCTCAGCCAGTCCCTGTCGTGACAGCACTGCCCGTGTCCAGGGCCTTGCTTGTCCTTCAGTTGGGAGCTTTTGGGCACCAGTCAGGAATCCAGAGCTGTGGTACATGAGCCTAGAGGTAATAAAGCTCAAAATGCCCCACCTGTGCTGGCAGGAGCCACAGCTCCCCTCTGCGTGTGTGTAAATTTATTTTAAATCCTGGGGTTGCCCTGCCAGCTCCGCTTCTGCAGCCAGAGCTTTGTGGCACGAGATACATCAGTCACTTATTTAAAGATGGTGATAATTTGCACAAATACCACCAGGCTGTGCTTCAGCCCGTGGCACTGAGCAGCAGCAGGGGCTGTTGTGTGGTTTTTTTTGTGGAGCTGTGCCAGGAGCTGTGCTGCTCTCAGAGCCCGGGCACCAGCCTGGCAGCTCTGCAGCTCTGCCCCTGCAGCACCCTGGCCCTGGGGAGCTGCCAGCCACCCTGCTGCCTCCCTTCTCTGCCTTCTCCTCTGCCTCAAGGGCAAATCCAAGTGCCACTCGTCTGGTCTCATCCAAGGAGATGCTAATCAACGTTTTGGTGCCTACGAGGTGAGCGAGTGGGAAACACGAATTGATGTTTGGGGCATATGGGGATGCCATGGGAGCACTGAGGTAGAAGTAAATCATTAGTTAGTAAATGGCACTGGCTGAAAGGTCTGATTGAAGCCTCCTGCTCAGTGGGGGAAGAAGGGAACAAGCACCAGATGACTGGGAAGTGCTGGATGCCTGCGTGTGGACTCCACAGAGCATCTGCAGAGGAAAGTGCTGTGTGTGTGTGTGACCAGATCAATAAAGGGCAGCACTGTGCAGTCATGCACAAGAGGCACGTTAATGGTGCCTGCAACTGGGATTCTGCCATGCTTCTGATGCTGGCTCACAAGGTTTCCATCCTAAATATCATTAAATTAAATATTTAAACCTAATGTTACTGCAGCCCCTGGATGTGGCACCTGTTGGCAAGAGGCCATGCAGCGTGCACAGATGCCTTCAGCTCCACACTGAAAGGCAACGTCCTTCCTGTGAGGGTGGAGGCTGTGTAGGGTGTTGATGGAACGAATCCCATGTGAACAAAGGCCAAGGAGCTGTGCTCTGTCGCTGTCAAGTTCCTGCAGTTGCCGTTCACACCCCACGAGCAGCACTCCTGGTGTGCAGATGGCATCACCCTTCCACCCTGCCTTCAGCTCCGTGGGTCAGGCTCACTCTCATTTGCATGAAGACCATTTTGTATCACTCAGGCAGCATAAGGTGGCCATAAATGAAAAGCAAATTCTATTTACATCCACCTCTGCAGAGTGACCTTAATTTAAATGAGAATCAGGCCCATAATCTGTATAAATATATGCACTCTGTTACATTAAGGTTATTTATTACTTTGTGCTTGGCCTGAGTATGCATGGAGATTTACCATAGATAATCCATAATCCAGAATTAAACTATTAATATGCATTTTGAGAGGGGCAGCCATAACCTTGAAATTCCTTGGTTTAAGTATGACCTTTAACTTTGTTTGAATATATTTTTTAAATGTATGAATAACAAATTAACATTGGTTGATAAAAAACATTCTGATTCCTTTGTACCATTTGCATCAGTCCATCCTTAACTTACAGAAAGCCTTGAAGATTAGAAGGCTTAATCACTCATAATATTTATTTGTTTTCAAATGTCAGATCACATTTAGTTCAACATACTGTCAGTCTTGTCCCCCTCCTCGCCCCCAGCATTTTACTGGAACTGTGGTGAGATTGTTCCTGTCTTTGTATCCAGAGACACCCGTGCCTCAGCAGAGTCACACACTGTGTCCCTGTGTAAAGGAATTGCTCTCTGTGTCCTCCTGCACACGCAGTTCTGTTCCTTTGCCGTGCCCTCCCAATTTCTTCTGCCTGCCTTCTGTTTTCCTTCCCACAGGCCACGTCTGAAATTCAACAACCTGACCTTGATTTCCACTCATGGACTTCCAGGAAAAGACCCACAGAGCTCCAAGTATAGAAGATTTTTAATTGACAGGTTTGACTTCACGTCTAAACACTTGCATAGCTCCTGCAGGAAACATAACACTTTGGAATTGTGCTGAACTTGTCCTAAATTTTAGGTACATCCGTGTGTCTATGCAGAGTGCAGAGCCCTACCACAGGAGCTGGGTAGAATTTGGAGTACCAAAACAATAATTTCAGGACAGCAATCCTGGACAGCATGCTCTGCTTTCCAAGGCTTTTCAGATTGTTTAAATTTCCAGGCTGCAGACAAATGACACGACATGTCTGCTTGCTTTTTACATCTTGTTGGGTTTTTAGCTTCGCTGAGTTTTGCTGTAAATGATGCAGGAATGGACAGTGGTGATGTGACAGGGGCTGAGTGACAGCAACCTGTGGGGGGATGCAGGGCCCAGCAGTATTTTTGGGTTAAATTTTGGAATAAATCATCACTGTGGACCTGAACATGATCGTTTTGAATATCAGGAAGCATAGAATTAAAATGGATCAGTTATTCTGAACAGTTAGGGGATGAACTTACACGAAGTAGTTACCTGTATTACTTTGTGTGCTGTAGAAAGGGGCGTGTTCAAGTGCAAATCTAACAAATGAAGGAATTAGATCCTCACATAAATGCATGCAGTCTTTTTTCCTAAGTTCACTGCAGAAAAGAGTTGTACTAATAAAGGATCCTTCCTGGCAGAAAGTTACAGTTCAGAGCTGCCTCACCAGATTTAGCTGTTACAATCTGAAAGCAGATTAAGAGTGAAAATTGAACTCTGCAGGGTGTGATTTCTGAAAGCATCCCTGTGATTTTGGAGTGTCAGTCTCCTGGGAGCTGTGCACCTCAATTATAGAGGTGCTTTTGAAAACCTTCTTCTGTCCTTAATGTCCATTTTATTTATAGATTTCTGCATTATTACAGTTCAAAATTGTCAATGGTTTTCTTCCCTTATTTATTTTCCTCTGGTATCTGTGAGTGCAGAGGATGCAGAGCGTCACAGAAAGCCTGGCAGTTCAATCCTAAAATTCCCCAGGCTGTGAAATCAACCGTGTTTGTTCCTGTGGCATCCTGAGTGCCAGTTTTGGGAGTTTGGTAGCAACGATTAACGTGGAAGCAGGAGCTCTGTGTTGGGATGTGTGTGCTGGTATTAATGGCAGAGCAGCAGCTCTCAGTGCTGCTCCCACCCAGCTGCTGGTGCCACAGAAAAGCATCAAATGCTTGAGCACGGGCCCAGCCCCTTCTGTTTAATCACTGTGAGGCCCGTGGAGAAAGTGGAATATTTTTCATCACTGAATATACATAGAAAGCCAAGTTTTCAGGCCTCTGAGTGGCCATGAGCTCAGTGTGGAAGGTTGGATGTATTTTCTGTGGTGGCTTCCCAGGGTCCCTGTACTGGCCATTCCCCTCCTGAGGTCCTGGCTGGGGTGAGACTCAGCTTCTTTCACGTGGTTTGTTCAGTGTTTCTTCTTGCTGGGCTGCTCTGGGCTCACAAACCAGACACCTGTGTGACACCAGCCATTCTTTTTTTGGGTTTTGTTTTGTTTTGTTTTAAACCTATTGTGTTCTCTTTCAAATCTATAAATGGGTTTGTCCAGTCCTACTGAAAGAACCGAAGTGAGCAGTGGGTTTTCAGTACTGGGGAGGGATGGAGTTGAGCCCAGCTGGATGTGCACAGTGCTCAGCAGCCTCTGGAGCTTTTCCATGGTGGGCCATTGCCAGGCTCAGGGGTCATGATGGACCTGGCTGGGGATGTTCTGTCTGGTTCTCCTCACATTTTATAGTCATGTGTCCATTGCACATCTCTATGGAAGTATTTTATCTTCAGGAATCTCTGGCTTTGCAGAAGGCTGGTATCAAACCAGATTTTGGGGAAAAGCTGAATAAGGAAGTCTTGTCTTGGAGGAAGAACTGGACTGTTGAATTATTTTCTTTGCAGGTTCAAAAGCTTCTACCTCACATCAGCCTGCAAAGGAAAAGCAGAGTAAAGCAGAGATTTCTGACTTAGTTTTTAAATTCAGTGATTGTAAGGCCCAGTGCTGCAAGGGCTTGTTTGGTTTCAGCAGAAAGTTGTCAGTGTGTAACTGGGGGTTTCCTCACGCCCCATCTTTTGCCCTGGGCTGCACTGAACTCCCAGCAGGGCAGCAGGAGGGAGCACAGGGGCCTGAGCCGAGCTCACCAGATGTCTCATTAATGCCTGCTGTCAGCTGCCCAAACGTCACTTAAGAGATATTCTTCCTTTGCAGCCACTGCTTCAGTGATGAAGATCATGCCCAGATGTCACTCTGCTCCTGGGTGAACGTTGTGGTGGGGAAGATGACGGCCATAAAGCGCCGTGCCAAGCACGTCGTGGTGTCCGAGGAGAAGCCAGTGCCCTACGATTACCTGGTTCTGTGCACGGGACAGAGCTACCAGGTGAGCCGTGTGTGCAGGGAGGCAGCACAGCACTGCCACCTTCCCCCCACACCCCCTCGGGCTCTTGTGACAGCGGGCAGGGCAGCCTTAGCCTGGGCAGCAGCAGTTTGGGTGCAGGTTGGGCTCTGGGAGGAGGCTTGGACAGAGTTTCCCACCAGCACTTGACCTGGGAGGAGGCCACGCTGCCCCTGGGTTTGCCACCATAACCATCACACCTGCTGAGGAGCAGGCTCAGCTGACATGTGGTCTCAGCCACGGGAGACTTAACTCCAGCTGGTCTGATACCATTTGACCTAGTTTTGGAAATGGAGAGAGTTCCTTATCAAATTAATTACTCATCTCACGTGATGGCCGTGCCCAGGCACGTCCATGGTGCTGCTTGGTGTTGGAGCACACAGCCGAGTTTCCAGTGAGATTGGATAAGATGTGGAATCAAGCTGAGCTCCAGCCCCACAGGGTTTTTCCTGGATCCCCATGATGCCATCAGGCCACGTATCCAAATGTGTCCAGCTTGGCCCTTGCTGCAGGGCTTTGCCACACCTGGGTGGTTTGGGGCATTTTGCCTTTAAAAGCAGGAGAGGGATGTGAGCAATGTCTGCAGCTTTGCAGTGCTGTGCCTCGTCCCACAGCAGCCTCTGCAGTCTGGGATCCCTTCTCAGAGCAGAGCCACGCTTCAAGAGCAGCCCATGGGCACTGCCCAGCAGGGGTGAAACAAAAGCTGAAGTGTGTGGGCTGGAAAAGTGCTCCTAGGAAAAGGTGTTTGGAGGTAACTCTGACTTGCACAACAATTTATGGCAAGTAACTGCAGTGGGGGAGAAAGATAAAGACAGCAAGGAAAAAGGCAGGTTTTATCTGCCTTTGAGAAGAAATGCCATCATCATCTATTCTCACTTTCAAGCTATACAAAAGGATAGGAAGAAATCAGTGGCTTCTGTTTTATTACAGAGAGCTCTGGTCCACCTTTTTTATAAGTTGTTCCTTATTTGATAAGCAGTCAAATTGATGCTTAGTAAAACATTATGTGTTATGACTTAGAGATTTACTTGTCGAGTAAGATCTTTTGGTGTCATGGCTGGTTTTATATGACCCAGCAGTGTTTCAGATGACCCAGCTGGCAGTGACAACAGGGTTCAGGATGTGGCTCGGTGGTGCTGAGGAAGTCAGAGACAAGATTCCCTTTTTGCTTTGTACAGCTCAGACTGAGTTTGTTGTTAAGCAGCATTACACAGTGAATGTGTTACTGAATCCTCACATTTGAGCCATCAGGCAGGTTGTGATCCCTTTCTCTGGGACAAAATCTGTCATTACAGAAAGTTGATTTTTTGCTGACAAAAAGTGGGGGCGGTCTGGCTTCACAAAGACTTTCCAAGGGCCGTTTAAAGTGCTGTGTTATTCAGGGAGCTGCTGAGATGCCCTGCTGTGTGCTGGGACATTGCTGCTGTTTGCTGTGCACTCCCTGGTGTTTGCCAGGTGCCTCCACTTGCACTGGCAGCGCTGTTTGAGGTGTTCACCCAGGTCCCTTCACAGGGAATAGGGAGCACCTGCACACACGTGGACACTCAGGTAGGTGGGATCCGTGTTCCCTGGGGCCTCGGGAGCGTTTGCTGCTGCTGGTTGTGCCAAAGGGTTGGGATGTGTGCCAGAACAGTGAGAGTGACGCTGTGATCGAAGATCTGCGAGGTGTGTGCCATGCCTCCACTCACCCAGCGTGTTCCTGCAGCCCCTGGCTCCTCCTGCAGGAGCAGACGTGATGGAAGTCCCGGCTCAGTGGGCACAGAGATTCACGGGCAGAGTCCCTCCCAATCACTTCACTCTCAACGACAGCCAGGACTGCCGGGAGGCTGCACGCTGGCTGCAGGACAACCTGCACAGCTCCCAAGGTAAGGGGCTGCACTGCCACTCACAGAAACGCCTCCCAGCCTCGTTGTTTCCTTCATTCCCTGCTATCACTGGGGCCTCGGGAATTCTAAACCAAGTCTTTCATCTGCTGCGCTTTGTTTTCCAGGTTAATTTACGGTTTTTTGTTATTTTTGATGCCCAGTATATTTAGCTGGGAAAGAAAAGTTTAAAATAGATCAATTATCTGAAGTTATTGTATAAAACCAAATTAATCCCAAATGCAAATCTGTCCAGAGTTGTTCATTAGCCAATGAAATAATAATTTAATTGGTGGATGTGGTTTTCTACAGTATGGAAAAATATCTAGATTTGTGGCATAACACAAAGAAAATAAGTCTAAATTAGAAAGCGTCTGTCAGCATTGTATCCAGTTGCAGATTTTCACACAGAACTGCAAGTTCCTGGTACTTTTTAACCCTTAAAATCCGATGTTTATGATGATGTGCACCATCCCTGCATTTCCTCAGCCTTGTCGTGTGTGCTCTGTTTGGCTGTTCACTAGTTCATCCCCTGTGGGAATGCCTGGGACCATGCAGGTTTCTGAGTCAGCTTCGAATTAGAGAAACAGAGACCAAAGAGTCAATGGATTCATGAGATGTCAGTTCATGCTGGCCCTGAGTCAGGGCAGCTCAGAGCAGCAAAGGTGTCTCTGTGGGGAATTCCTGTGGGCAGAGTGCAAGAGCAGGACTTTGCTGAAGATGGATTTCACCTGCCTCGTTTGTGGAGTGTCATGAGAATTGGCAGTGATTGGTGTGCTGCAAGATTCACACCTGCCTGGGAGTCCTTCAGGGAAGTTCTATAAACGTTGGAAATTCCTTTATGGTGCTCCAGGTGTTGCTGTGATCAGCACAGGGCTCCATAAACACGGCAGTGATTGTGAGCCAGCGTCCTGGCCTCTGCAGCAGGGCTGTTCCAGCTGTTCCCCAGCTGCTCTGAGCCCTGCCCACACGGCCCTAGCTGGTGTCCAGCTGGCAGGTGAGGTGTTACCTTTCCCTGTGTGCCCAGGGATGTGCCCGGGAGGGTCAGTCACTGCAGCAGAGGGCACAGCCACGGTGCGTGCCTGGCTCCGTGCAGAGAGAAGGGAAATTCTCAGCACCCATGGGGCTGTCCTGGAGGGACTCGTGGTCTAGGAGAGATGTGACACCTTCCCCTTCCCCCTGCTCTGCCTTCAGCTCCCTCTCCTTGCTCTTCCCATCACGTTGTGTCCTGCTGTGTGGGTGCCCAGCTGGAAAGGGCTTCCCCCACTGATGTGTTTCTCTTCTTCCTCAGCCTGCTTCTTCTTCCAGCTGTTTTCTTACAAACACGCTTCTTCCAGCCTTGGCAGTTGTGCCAGGGCTCGGGGAGGGCCTGGGAGCAGGGCTAGCACTGGCCCCACGGCTGCCACTGTGGCTGCAGTGATGAAACGCAGCCACCTAATGCATGGAACCCATTACAGCTGTAATTGGGACTAATTGAAATTCATCTCCTCTTAGCACTGCACTTTCCATGAAAATAAAAGTAGGATGGAAGTAAAGTAAGGAACAAAACTGCTTTAATGGCCCAAAATGGAGCAATTATTTTTTTCTCTTCACCTAAGCATAGTTTACTGCCTTATTAAAAGCGTGTTTGTAGGAATACTCTTGCATTAAAATTCTAGTGCATGAATCACCCACTGGAGCCACCAATGCTTCAGCTCACACTGGGTTTCTCCTTCAGCTTTTGCAAACTGCAAAGATTCAGGTCACATTAGGGTCACCGAAATCTTGTGCTTCTACTTGTGGAAAATTAATGAGTCTGCTCTGCAGCAGGACGCTGACATTCAGGTAATAAACGATAAAACTACTGTAATGATCTTTATTTATGGCTGTTTTTTTCTGTAGAAGGTTATTATGTTTACTCACAGATACATACATTTTCATGTAGTTAAACAATAAAAGCATCCTGAGGAACTGCTCTCTGTTCAGTGGACATAATTTCAGTCCATAATGAATATCTGCAGTTCCTAGACTACTAGCACTGTCATCTAAAAAGCCACTAATATTGTAATAAGCAGAAGCAGTAAATTGTTGATTTACAAGAGGTCAATAAAGGAGCATTGCTTTCCCTGATCTAATGCAGTTGTATTTAATATTACCATATAAAACAGAATTTTAATTTTCCTTGAGAAATGTAGGCCCTGATGTGATCTTGTCCATCCCCAAATGCCAGTGTCTAATGCAGGAAGTGAGCTGCTCTCTGAGGGTGAAGGGTCTCAGCCCAGCCTTGCCCTGCGGGCAGAATGGAGCTTTGCTGGGCTGTGCCTCAGGGAAGCCTTCTCATCCTCCTTTTCCAGCCACCTCTCTTCACTGCCTGCAATTGAAAAGGTGTAAATGCAGCATGAGGCTGCCAGCACGTGGCGTTTATAAAAACGAGTATAGCAAAGCTGCTCTTCACCAGCTTGAGCAGGGGATTGTAACCCTTCTTGCATTGCACCCTGCTGCAGCAGGGAAAAAACAGTCAGGCTTGCATCTGTCTTCTCTTTTGGCACTCTCCTGAGGCCAGGTGTCCTGGCAGACACAAGCTAGGGGATAGATTCTTCTGGCTTGGGGAGTCAGGTCAGTGATGGACACGCTGGAGCATTCCTGTATTCTATATGATATTTATGGAAGTAGTGAGACGTTTCTTCTGGTGCTTTCAAACGGATACATTTGCAGGTGAAATGGTTGTGTCCCTCGGGTCATTGCTGTGAACAGTAAAAGCATGTTTTGTGTCATTGATGTGCAGTGTACTCGTGGGGCAGGTCTTTTGTCTGGCAGCTATGAAGAGAGATGTTTCTTTGGCAGCCACAAGTAGCCAAGCTGATAGGTTATGAAGAAAATAACTGTGTAGTCAAAGGGGAATAGCAGAACATCTGTTAACATTTTTATCGTTAATATTCTTGGGAGCTGGGGCTGTGTGCCTGCTCGGTTTAGCATTGCCCTGCATGTCACGCAGTGAAACGTGGTGCAGTGAGATGAGTTTAGCCCCTGCAATAATGCAATTCAGGGCAAGGGGGGTGCTGTCACTTGTGGCAAGAGGGGGAATGGCCCTGCTGTGAGCTGCTTGCAGCACTGCCCGGGTGAGGAAGGTGAGGAAGGTGCTGTGGAGGCATCCTTGTGCTCACGGGTCAGCCGTGAGGCACAGGAGCTGGTGTGGGCAGGGGCAGGTGTGCACAGAGAGCCTGCAGGGCAGGGCTGGGCTCGGAGCTGCTCAGAGGCTGGTGGGTCACAGAGCACACAAACGCTTCCTGCTCCTAGCAGGGGGCAGTGGGGAGGAGAGGAGCACGTTCCAGTCCTGCTCAGAGGATTTTTGGTGTGTCCTGTATGAAACCACCCTGAGATCAAACACTCTGCTGCCTCCCGGCTGTGCCTCTCTCATTGCCAGGACGGCTGTAGCCCTTAGGCTGAGGAGTCACACAGAACAGACCCTCCCCTCCCCTCCTCGTGCTCCTGCTCAGCTCTGACTGTGCCCTTGGAAGTGGCACAGGAGAAGTTCAGGACAATGAGCAGGGCCCTGCCCTGCAGCTCTGGAGGGCTGGATCAGCTCTGAGCTCCCTTTGCCCAGTGCAGGAGGATGGAGCTGGATTCAGGGGTGGGTTCTGTGCTGCTGTTGGTGCTCTGCAGAAGGAGCAGCAGCTCCCACACACTGCTGTCACTGCAGCTGCTGGGATGGATCCATGGATGGATGGAGGGATGGATGGATCCATGGATGGATGGAGGGATGGAGGGATGGAAGGACCCATGGAGGGAGGGATGGATGGATCCATGGAGGGAGGGATGGATAGATCTATGGAGGGAGGGATGGACCCATGGAGGGATGAATGGATCCATGGATGGAGGGATGGACCCATGGAGGGATGAATGGATCCATGGATGGATGGATGGATCCATGGAGGGAGGGATGGATGGATCCATGGATGGAGGGATGGATCCATGGATGGATGGATGGATGGATGGATCCATGGAGGGATGGATAGATCTATGGAGGGATGGATGGATGGATCCATGGAGGGAGGGATGGATGGATCCATGGATGGATGGATGGATCCATGGAGGGAGGGATGGATGGATCCATGGAGGGATGGATCCATGGATGGATGGAGGGATGGATCCATGGATGGATGGAGGGATGGATCCATGGAGGGATGGAGGGATGGATCCATGGAGGGATGGATGGACCCATGGATGGATGGATCCATGGAGGGATGGATGGACCCATGGATGGATGGATCCATGGATGGATGGAGGGATGGATCCATGGAGGGATGGATGGATGGAGGGATGGAAGGACCCATGGATGGAGGGATGGATCCATGGAGGGATGGATGGATCCGTGGAGGGATGGGTCCATGGAGGGATGGATGGACCCATGGATGGATGGGTCCATGGAGGGATGGATGGACCCATGGATGGATGGACCCATGGATGGAGGGATGGATGGACCCATGGATGGATGGACCCATGGATGGATGGATCCATGGAGGGATGGATGGGTGCCTGCAGCTCACTGAGCTCCCAGCAGTGAGCAGGGATGGGAGTGGTTCTGGGCTGGCACTGGGCCATGTGCAGCTGCCTTCAGGGTGGTGCCGAGCTCTGCCCAGCACCAGGGACAGGAACCTCTCCCATTCTCTGGAGATCAGGCTTTGGCAGAAGGGACAGGCAGCACTGGTGACCTCCATGTTTTCTATAACTTGGCCTTGCCATGGTCTGTGGGGGTTTTCTGCTTGGTGTATTGAATTTGATTTTGTCTGCTCCCCCTTCCATCAGTCCATTGAATGAGCAAAATTAGGGAGACGGGGGAGAGCAAGATAAAAATGGTGATTTATTTATTTATTTACCCTTAGAGGTTTTTAATCAAAATAATTCAGATTATGGGGTCAGGATGAATATCATACTTCTGTGTGAAGTACTTGCCTACTTTGTGGGATGTTTTGTACATATTCTTCACTAAATTATCTTAGCTGCTGTTGCTAGGTAACATTGTTTGCTTCATAGCATCAGAGAAATAAGAGGGTCAAAGAGAGCAGTTCCGTGTTATTATCATCTGAGTTATACTAATAAGGTTTTCATTGTATGTCTTAGAAATCCTTCCCCCTTTTTTTTTTTTTTTTTTTCCTCTTAGGGAGCATCATTGTCTATGGGAATACAATTGACATTTACACCACGGTAGAAGCCCTCTTATCCCTCGGGATTGACGGTTCCCTCATCCACCTCGTGCAGGGCTCTGGCAGCCCGTGCCTCGGGGACAGGGCGGTGCAGCTCCGGGTGCGGGAAGCCCTGGCCGAGGCGGGCGTGGCCGTGCACCCGGAGCACGTCCTGGCACGGTGGGGCCGGGGAGAGCACGGCCACATCACCTGGGCAGAGTTCAGCAGTGCCACGGGGCCACTCCACCTGCAGTGTGCTGTGAGTACACCCCCCTGTGCCAGCCATCACATTTCCCTGCCCTCCTCACAGATTTATCTCCTCCTTGTCCCTAGGAGACTGAACACATCGACTTGTGGGTCTCAATGATTGTTTCTAAAAAATCCAAATAAAGCTGCTGTTAATGCCCTGGCTGATTTGGATTAAAATGTATTTAAGTCACATGACACAAAAGTAATTGTTCACTGCTGAGTGACAAATACTTTTAATTCATTTTCAAAGTAATTCCAGAAATCCTTTTCTTATTTAAATGTGCAGTTACTCCTGTCTATAGTTATGTGCATTTGATTGTCATAGCAGAAGCCAAAAACCCTGGGATAGTATGTAACTTAATGAAAACATATTTTAAGCAGATTATTTTCCCTCTAATCAATGATTGCAGTTTTTTTCACTTGCAGTACCAGTGTCTTATGGAAGCTGTAGACATGTTCACAGTGGTGGCTCTGCTCTGAGAATGGGGAAATGTTGTAGCCTTTCCTAAGGGTCAGCATAATTCTGTTTTCCTTTATTGGGCTAATCCACAGGAGTGAGTCCCTTCAGAACCTGCATGTGTGGGGAGCCACCAGCCCCTGTGCCCTGTGTGTGTGCCCTGTGCCCTGTGTGTGTGTGCCCTCTCTGTTTGTCCCCTCTGTTTAGCTGTTGGTTTTAACTGTGGGGAGGTTGAGCCCTGTTCCTCTCCCAGAGAGGTCCCCACCTATTGGGGTCCCTGCTGGCCCCCCTGCTCTGCTCCCCTTTTCTTTTTCCCTTAGGTCTGGTGAAGCCCTTTTTGATGGGGGTGAAGACCTCACTCAGCATTTTCTCCATAGGAGTCTCCTGGCTTTGCTCTCTGTATCAGCAGTGATGTTTCTCCCACTCTCCTTGTGTGCAGCTTTTTATGTTTTCTCCTTTTTCCTTGAAATCACTCTATTTTTATCCTTCCACAAGGATCTCAATGTGGTTCTTTTTTTTTGCAACTTGGTATCCACCGACCAGCTCTCCTCAGCCCCCCTCTTCTCCCCACCACCTTGCCTGCATGTCCTGCACTATTCCTTCAGATGCCTCGGATTTTCTTTCTCCTGCCCCTTAGTGCCCCATGCTCCATCCTCCATCCATCCATCCATCCACGGTCCTTCCCTGTGGAGGTCTCTCTTTCTCTAAGATGAAAGACCTGCAATTACTTGTGATGTCAAGTGCTTTGTGTTCTCCAAAACCAGTTCAGCTGCTGTGCAGGGCTCTCCTGTATGTGCCTCCAGCCTCCAGCGAGGCTGGGCCACGAGCAGTGGGCTCTGGAGAGCAGCTCCACCAGGCAGGCAGCTGCACTCACAGGACACCAGGCTCTGCAGGAACCGTCTCTGCAGCAGCTCTGGGCCTTTGGGGACTGCAGCCAGTATCAACTGTTGATTGGCACTTCTCGGGGACTTAATTTGTTGAGTCCTGCAGGATAAAAACAACGGGAGAAAATCTCTTCTTTTCCCGAAAGCAGCAGCCTCCCTCCTCCCTCCCTCCCTCCCTCCCTCCTGCCCGGGCTGACAGATGGCTCCCGCCTGGAGGTTGCAGCCCTCCCCTCCCCTCCCCTCCCCTCTGGTGACTGTCCTGCCTGTCAGCCGGCAGCATGTGGGGCTCTGTGCTCCTCGTGGGCAGGGCTTCCTTCATTTTTGGCTCTCTGAGCTGGTCCAAATTCCCTTAGCTGTGCACAGTTCATCACTCAGTTTATCTGTGAACAAGCCCAGGGGCTCTGGCTTCTCCACTGCCACATCTCTGCTTATGCCAGGGCTGCTAAAATTTCCAGCTCTCTGTGCCTTTTCTTTCAGCCAGTCTTGCCATTCTTATTCCTTTCACCCCTCCCTGTCCAGGGCACTCTTGTCTTACACTTGTTCAGGGACCGTGTTGTGCCAGCCCTGAGTTTATCCTTGGCCAGGGAAGCTTCCAGGGTGCTGCTCATGGTTGTGGCTTCTCCTGCATGTGCTGCCAGCAGCAGCTGCCCTGCAGTGCAGCTTCTGTGGGGGACAGGAGAGGGACTGTGTCAGTGCACAGGGAAGACAAATCACTGACATTTATCATTGGAATTTTCCTTTGAGACTCCGAGCAGGAATTTCCAGATTTAGGGTCCTCGGCCTCTGCAGCTTCCACTGTCTGAAATTCTGCTGCTATAGCTGGAATGAGGATGACATTTCCTCTGAACAAGTTTAATTTCTGATCTTTCCATTTCATTGACTGTCCCTGTGCCAGCTAGCCAGAGTAACTCAGCTTCTTGGTAAACAGACTCAACAGTGTTGGGAAAACACTTGTAATTCACAATTATCCTGCTAAATTCCAAATACATTGTGCTTTTCTGTTCCTTGGGGTTTCAGGTTGGCTGGAGCATTGGAAGGTTCAGGTCTATGTTCCATGCTTGGACTAACACAGACTGACACAGCCACTCAGGCTGTTTGATGTGGCAAATGTTGGAGTTTCTGAACAGATGAGCCTAGTTCAGTAATTCTGCTTTCTGCTGTCTCAGTTTCATCTTTGGTAGCTGTGAGTGCTGGATCAGAAGGATCTCTTTGCTGTCACAGTGTTGCTAAAATCACACTGTATTTCACATTCTTGTTTTTTAAATAACATTCAGAATAAAGTCTGGGTTTTGATTTATGAAATCAGCCAGTAAATAATACACAATTATTTCCATCTCTTTTTAGGCATTTTTTAGCTTTGCCTACAAGACCCTGGATTTTGAAACCTTTAAGGCCCTCAGTGATGCTTGCCTTGTTGTTGATGGAAGACTTGTGATTGATGCCAAATTCCACACCAATGATGCCAGCATCAGGGCTGCAGGTCCTCTGACAAAGTTCTCCAGGAGATACTACAGGGACGATGTGACACACAGCAACTTCAACTCCAAGGAGATTGGCTTTGAGCTTGCTGCTTCCATGCTGAGTCTCTTTGATCCAACCCTTCAGGCCAGCTCTGAGCCACCAGAAGGCTCAGACAGACTCATCCCTGTATACAAAAAGTGCAAAGTGCAAGGTATGTCCACCTGGATTTCTGTCGCTCTTCCAACCCCTCTCAGGAGTTTTTGGTCTTGTATAGTACAGGCAGGTCCATCTCACCTCAGGTGCCACCTCAGGGCAGTACAGCACTCAGGGCTCCTTCTGTGCCAGAAGAAGGTGATGGCAGAAGGAGGACAAACAAATAGATGATTTTCTTCGTTGTTAATGACTCGATAAATCTTGTCTTTTCACTCGTGGCAGGTGGTGTTCTTCCTGGAGGTTATAACTATTTGCACATTTCCAAGCCTGGAATCCCCACGCCCTTGGACATAGAAGGTGACCCATGTGATCATGTAAGTTAAATAATGGAACTTTTTCTTATTTCATCCCCTCTGTTTGTTTGAAAGGATGTTCCTGTTTAGGGCAGCTGGGTCTGGAGGCACCATACACACCAGGTACAGCTGCAGAGAGAACCAGGAGCAGTCCCAGAACTCCTGAACCTCTCGGGTGTTCCTTTGCACCCCTTTGTGCTGGTATTTGGCTTTCTCCAAAGACACCACCTGCAGAGGACACAGGGCAGCAGTGGCTTGTGGGACAGATTGTCAGTGGGGATAGAAAATGGGAGGTCCTGCAGCTGTGAGAGTTGTCTTGGAACGGGGCACAGGGAAACACTGTCCATGCTGGGCTCCAGTCCCAGGATACAAACCCGGAGGTGTTTGACTGGAGAACCTGGCTTGAGGCTAAAGGAAAGGACTGGATTAATGTCCAGAGAGGACTTTCCACCTAGGCCAGATCCTCTTTCACAGGGATTGTACTTTTTTCTTTGGGAATTTCTCCATCAAGCCCATTTCTGCAGGTGATTTAAGGAGCAGCTTTTTAAAAGCTACTTCAGCGTTGATTTTAAAACCTGAACAGCAATGAAACAAATGGGCTTTTAAAAAAGAAAATGGTTTAGGGAGAGGAATCAAAGCATGCCTCACCTTGCTTTTCAGATCCAGTATGAGCCATCCATAGCAGCATGTAGTGGAGAGCAGAAAGAGAGAGGAGTTGGTTTTGTTACTCCAAATTGCTAGAATATGATTAGAATTCTTTTGCTGCCACTCTGATTACCTGCTGATTACCTGAAAAGGGACCATATTTTTAAAAGCCACTCCAGAAACTTCTTGTAAATCCTGAAAGAATTTTCTAAGAAAGAAGTAAGAGAAGCTAGTGAAAAGTACTAGCTTAGATGTGGAAATACTAAAGGTTCCTGTAGCCTAGCAACAGGTTGTAGAAATGTATAAAACTGTGACAGGAATACAGCTGGAAAAAATAACTTCAAGCTATCTGATCATCTCACTGCAGTGGGAGGTTTGAAGCGAATTTTTACATTTTTGTGTAAGTGATTGATTTAAGTAGCTGAAGCTAAATGCCACAGTTTGAGCCTGACCATCCAATCCCGGTGTTCTTTTATTGGCAGTAAACGTGATATTGCCACGTGTGTGCCATAAAGGAGGCTGAGCAGAGCTCAGCTCAGTTCCCCAGAGAGAGAAGTCTGCAGTGTTGTTTGGGATGCCCCGGGGCATCCCCTGTGCCTCCAGCTGCTGCTGCTGCAGGAGGTCACAGGTCCCCGTGGATCCCGTGTCACGCTGCTGGGGGGTCCCCGGGTGTCTGTGGTGGCACCTGGCTGGTGTGCACGGTGGGGTGGGCAGCATCCAGGCCAGAGCACCCAGAATTGTGTGTCCAGGCACAGCAGGGTGCCCGTGGTGCTGTGCCAGGGTGTCTCTGCACTGCAGCTCTGGGCGTGGAGCAGTGACAACTCGGGGCTTGTGCCAGGCCAGGGCTTCTTCCATGCCCACAGCTTCCCTGTGCTTGCTTCGTGTTGCAGGGGACAGAGATTGTGACTGGGGAGGCTGCTCAGGGGAATTACTTCAGGCTTCACTTGAGCAGATACAACACTGTGGACAGCATCACCTGCTTCTGCAAGGAGCCCTTGCCCGTGTCCAACTACGTGTGCCTGTACGGGCAGCACGAGCGGCTGCTCAATGACCTGTGCTACCGCCGGGGGGCCGGCCAGCTCCCCGACCTCTACAGGTGAGAGCAGCTCGCCCTGGGCCACTGCATGTGCCAGCACCTAAGGCTGGCCTCGTCGTGCTTCGTCTGTGCCCGGAACTAAAGGTGGGGAAACAGATTTGAAAGGGTTTTCCGTTATCTGGCGAAGTTGTCGGGTTGTCAGCTGGCTTGCATGTCAAAATGCAAGTCCTGAGGATGTCCCTGGAAAGGGTTTTGTGTCTGAGGTTTACTCAGAGGAGGAGCAATGGTTTACTTGACTATCTTTCATCTGAATGAGCATTTCAGTGTCTTTATCACTTTTGTTTAGAATATTCAGTGGGTTAATCATTAAGCTGAACCTGGACAATCCTTGATTACTGAAGACTCGTGTTCAAAAGTCGTTTTTTTTGTTGCTTTGAATCAAATTTTTAAGCCAAAGATTTGTAGGGAGATTTTAAATAACTCACACTGACAGTCGTGCTCAACAACTTGTCTATTTTTATGTGGTGAGAGGTATGAAGGGCCTGGTTAGTTCTAGTCATGTGCCATCTCCTCTGAGAGAATGTTTCATTGCTTTTGATTTTCATTTGAAGAAATCCCTCACGAATGGTGCTTTGGAACACAAACTGTCACAGATGGAGTAGTGAAGCACTGCCTTACATCAGCTGGGTAGAGACAGAAAGCCAGGCTCAACAAATAATCTGTTTTTATTGTGGTACAAAGCTGATAGTGGTGCCTGGAACACTTCCAGGTTTGATTTTGTTCTATTTACAAGTGATTAGAAGAAAGGCACAAATGGTAGCAAAATGATTTGTTATTTAGGTAGCACTTTGTCAAAGTTTGCTGTGAAAGGTGTGCTGTGGTCCAGAAGATGCTTGTGAATTATTGCTGCCATAGGGCTTGATTGTGATTTATAGCAAATGTTGGGGCTGTTTTACAAGAGGGGAGCAGGGCACAGCAGATGTGGAGTTCACACTGTCAGGGAGGGTGGCACAAGTGCATGGGACACGGGCTAAGGCAGCAGGTGACCTCCTGTCCTTGTCACATCACAGCCCGTGCTGGTGGCACATTTGGAGCACTGGGAGAACTCCTCAGTCAGGCTGTGGCAAGGCACCCTCAGTCCTTTCTGGGGCACTGCAGTGTGAGCTCACACATTGTGAGCTCCCCTTTTCTGTGAGCCACACTGAGCTGTGGCCAGGGCCACCCGTTACATGCACCAGCCACTTCCACACCAGTGGCAACATCTGGAAGAATAAATGGTCCTGCTCTGGGATTTCAGCCTGCAGCACGGGCAGCAGTCTTTTCCTGGCCTTGACCTGAGGATCACTGGTGTGCTGCACAGAGGGACACCACATATCAGGGCCTCATCACATCCCTTCAGCTCTCCTTCGTTTGTGATGATGAACTAATTTTGGACTTGTCTTTTACAGCTGTTAGACAGTGATGTTGTTTGGGACCTTTTGCCTCATTATTTTATCTCACCTCTCATTAGCCTGTGGCAGAATTCCTGAATTACAGTTGCCAGGTTTTTCTTATCTGCTTGTTTTATTGCCTCCAGTCGTTTTCAGTCTTCTTTCTACCTTATCTTTAGATAGGTTTGTTGCTTCTCTTCTTGCTCTTTGGTCATATGAATGAAATCCCATATGTTGCTCTGCAGCAGTGAACATATGCTGCTGTTTAATCCTTGCTCGAGTAGTTTTCTTGTGGCACTTTCACACACACACACACACACAGAGTCCCATTCATCCCAGCTCGGTGTTCCTGTTACACATGTCCATCCTGGGGGAGGGGAGGGAGCATTTTCCAGCAGGTGTGACAGGTTACTGCCTGGCATCCCCATGCAGCACTCCTGGCACACGAGCTGGCACAGGAATTTGCTGCTTGCAGGAGGAAGGCTGGAAGGAAAATGTACTCTGATAATAATATATCACATCTACTTCCCCACAGTACAGTGTCACACAAAATGTGCCTACAATAGGCACTGTTAAAATGAGAAGGCTGTTTGTTAGAAAACCATTTCACTGAAAAAATGGTTTAGCATCTCTTGTGAGTTGTCCTGAGGCTTTTATGTAGAGGAAAAGTGGTGCCTGGTTGGCTTTTTGTACAGAACAGGAAAATGCATTCACTGATTTCTACGTGTGTGATAAAAGAGCAACTGTTTAGGGCCTTGTTCACGTGGCCTGTATGGATCCCACATGAACACAAACCTGATGTTAGCACTGGGTTCCTCTCTTTGGCTTTCCAAACCTTCCCTTTAAACTAGTACACGTTACACTTGCAGCCACGTCTACTGGCAAGATGTGAAGTGCCCTTAGTGAAAAGAAAGTCTAAACTGTGAAAACGTGGTGTGCTAGTTAAGCTGGTAAAGTTGATGGTTTGAAGCATCCTTTCCCCTCCTCTCTTCTTTATGCCTCTCTTTTGGGAAGAGCCTTGCTATGAGGCAAGAAAGGGCAGTGATTTAATCTTTTGGTCTGCATTTAGATTTCCCAGCATGGCATCTCGTTCCAGGAATGGACACAGTGGAACAGCTGTCACCTGGGAGCTAATTTATTTCTGTGTAGCATGCAAATTATCTTTTAAATAATTAGAGACTGCACCTAGCAGTGAATTTCCTCAGTGATTTGTGTTCGGTGTAAGAGCTGAAAGTTAACCCCATGGTACCGGATTTCCTGGCCACAATGTGCCAGTGCCATTCTCAAATTAGCTTTAACAACAGGCCCCTGAGATCCAGCAAACTTGACAAAGTCACCCCTTCCTGGAGCCACAGCTAATGGGAATAATGAGAGAAACAGCATTTCCTTTTGTCTGGAGAGAAGTTCATTGATTTGGGTGTGAGTTCAGCAGAATTAAAAGCTGCAGGATTGACCCACAAGCAAAGGAAGCCTTGGCTCTGCTCTGCCTCAGTACTGGAGGAGGTGGAGCAGTGGGCACACGCTGCCCTCCCTGCCAGTGCCCCGTGCCTGCAGTGGGTGCTCTCCTTGCCCCTGGGCCTGCAGCCAGGGCAGGGAAAAACATGGGAACCAAAGGCTTGGCACCTGGGACTTGAATGGCATTGCTCGCTGGATCTGCAATCCACTTCAGGAAGGAGTTTCTGCAATTTTCATTCATTTCCCACCAGGCTGCATCTCAAAAAGTCAGCTAGAATTTGAGTCCACAAGAGCAAGGCTCACTCTTGGGGGGAGTCTTCTCCCGAAGGAAGAAGAAAGCAAATTCCAGTGGTGTGCCCTGAAGGGATCCCATGCTGCATGCCATGCTCCTGCCTGCTGGAAGGCCTTCACATTATTTCCATTATTATTGCCCTAGCAGCAGATAAAAGGGAGGGGTGGGGAGAGAGATCTGAAGCTTTTTTCCTTTTCTCTTTAAGTTTATAGATTTAGTGGCCATCAGTCCTCCACACTGCTTCCCAGAGGAGGAATGCCACCAGCCTGTGACCCCCTTTTGTGTCCTCCTGAGCTGCAGGCAGCTGCAAGGCAGTTGCCAAGTTATGGAACATGTCCACAGAACGGTGGAATCTCCCTCTGCTGCATCCAAAGTACAAAACAGATAATTAGAGAGGTCTCCTGATACTTGGCAACCAAATGGATGCTCACTGGCATCGTGCCTTTAATATGACATAGGAGTGCTTCATGTGAGCTTCATTTGGCATTAATGAAAATCAAATCCAGCATAAATGCATAAAAATCGGACCCACTAGTTTCTAAAATACTTAAGGAGCTTATTTCGCAAATGAGGTGTGAGTGGCTTTTACTTGGGGTGTTGTAATTGTGTGTTAATGACCTCGTTGTTGTCGCTGTGTCCTGTCATGTGGCACAGCAGTGGCAGTGAGGTGAGGGCAGCACGGGGCAGGGGCACAGGCTCAGCCTGGGGAGCAGTGCCCAAGGGCAGGGCACGTTTTAGTGAGGCACGAGCAGAGAAACCTCCCAAGTCATCCAGGCAGAGCCCAAAACCCCTTGGGTGTTTTTTGTTTCAATAGCTTTGTTCCCAGCGTTTGAAGGACTTTTCAAACGGGACAATTCGCTTCCTCTGCACAGGAGTGTGGGGCACCATGAGGGGGGAGAAGCCCCAGCAGAAGTGACCAGGGCTCTGTGGCAAGAAGGAGTTGGGAGAGCAGGTTTTATAGCAGTATATGGCACAGGGGATTTAGGTGAGTTGTAGTCACAAAGGAATGCTTTTCCCAGTGCCAGCATACAGGTGGGATTCAGTTTTCACTGAGGAAGGGAGCAGGCAATCCCTGCATGGATCTGTGCTGCCAAAGCTGCAGCAGGAATATGTGAAGGGAGTCGGCTCCCTCCTCCTGGGAGGCTTTGGAAAATCCACCCAGAAACTGTAAACACGGATAACAGCATCGGGTGTTTCCTTGGCTGCTCTCTTCAAACCCTTTTATTTTCACATTGCATTTTCATATTGGCTGTACAAGCTCAATGCTCCAAAGTACTTTGAGCTGCGTGAACAGCATTCACTTATTTTGAAGTAAACCATTTCTGGTTTTCCACTGCAGTTCAATTCCCACATCCTGGTGCTGTTAACATTAGGCTGAAGGTGATCTGTTAAGCAGAAACACCACACTGGACTGTTTATTGACTCAACGCTAATAAAGCTCACAGTGTAACAGATGCATTAAGGAAAAGAAGAACATTTGATGTTTTCAGCTTTATTGTTTAAAGGTAGGGAGAAGTTCATTACTTACAGGCTGGATAATCAGTGATTATTGAAACATGAAATGCATGCTACATAGAAAAGCTGGTTTTAACCCAGGCTTTGTGAAATGAAGAGTGGTTGTTTGTTAGGAGGACACTGAATGTCCTGCTGCTGTCTGGAATCTGCTGGATCCCACACCATTAGCACTCTGGGATTGCTTTTGAGGGATTGCACCTTAGGCATTTGTTCATCGGGCAGACGGTGAGATGCTTTTTCTGCAGGGTTAAAAAACACCAGAAAGGAACTGTGGCAGGGAGCGAGCCTAACTGAGAGGGACTAGTGCTGCTCTGGACGTTGTGCAGCCCACTTAGGGGGAAATGTGTGTGCTGGTGCTGAAGAGAGAGGCAGGCTAAGGAGGGAGGAACACGCTGAAGGGAAATCAGAGCTCTGGAATGAGCTGCTAACCTCACGTTGCTCCTGTAGGGCTGCACTCACAGCAGATCCATACCCGTGGCTGCAGATTCCAGGTAGCACTGGAGGCTTAAAGGAGCAGCTAACTTGCCAGTGAGGAGCCATGTTACTAAGAAACCCCACGTTCGAATTAGTAACTTAAAGCTCATCAGCTGAACCCTACCACATTCATTTCTAGCCGAACCTTGCTGATTTATATTAGTAATTATGCAAACCATTAGGAATGATTGAACTCTGAATCCATAAACAATTGCAGAAAAGCAATCATAGCCCTGCACACAGCCAGCAGCAGCAGTGTCACCCTCTGCCAGCTCTGGGTGGACTCGGTGGCCATTCTTCCACGACAAGAACTGCAGGAGCACTTGTCCTTTGCTCTGGTTCGCCGTGGCAGCTGTGTTTAAAAGGGGATTGTAAACCACGAGTTTTAAACCATCATCTTCCAAAGACAGGACATGGCAGGTTGTGTGAGAAGAGCTAAAAAGGCACAGGCTTCCTTTTCAGGATTTGCTTCTCAAAAGGGACCAAAGAAATGTCAGCTTGTGAATTGGTGAGCACTGTTGTTACTGTGGATTCCCTCTCAGGTTGGTTGTCCATGAGGCTGTTGTTTCACTGATTACCGGGTCAGAGCAGTAACAGAGTCCAGGATCGCTGAATTTAACAGAGATATTCGAACCTGGACAAGCAGGTGTTGAGAGATCAGAACTGCAGAGTGAGGGAATAAAGACCCTTCTTGCTACAAACAGGTTGGACATTTCCCTTTTGCTGTTCAGCTGTTGTAGGTGAATGCTAAGAAATGGCAGGTCAGGGAATATGTTATGTCCTTTGTGCTGAAGAACAATGCTCTCAGGTGCTGCTCTAGGGGATTTTACACAAATTGGTCTTGCTTTTTACCTGTGTAAACAAGCTGTCTTTTGAAATTATTGGTCAGGTGAATGCAGGAAATGCTCAGTGGAGCATTTATTTAAATTGTCTTTAAATTAACATACTATGATTCCTGGTCCAGCTACCCAAGGTATATCAGGAAATATTTTGTATCTTTTGCTGGTACTACCATATCTTTGTAATTAAGAGTCTTAAAGACATGCATATATTGTTCTCAAAACAACACATTTTGAATTTCCTGGCAAGATGGGATGCTCCATCTTGCCTGCTTGTGTTGGAGGAAAGGCTTTTGTTTATCTGCAAGCTGTGGTTGGGAAGTATAGTCAGTTTGGCCTGAAAATTAAACTTGCATTGCATCCCTGCCCTCCACGAGGGCAGGGCACTGGTGACTCGGGATGGCTTTGGGAAGAAACAAATGGGATTTCCAGAGATCTGTGTTCAGGATTGCTAAGAGACCTGCAGATTGAGCCCACATCATAGACTACCAGAGTTCCTTTGAGTGTGTGTTGGTGGAAGAGCAGGGGTAGGAGGGATGCAAGGATCAAATTTGTGTTTATTGTTTCCATGCAAGTCCCAAGTAGCATAGGAGCAGCCAGGGACACATCATCCTCCAAAGCTGCAGTCACTGGCATGCCAGTCTGCAGAGGGATTTTTCAAAGGCACCATCACGAGGTGCCCTTTGAGCAGGGCAAAATCCCCTCCTCATCCCAGCCTCCTTGCAGTGAGAAGGCACCAGAGCACAGCTCAGGGGCCAGCAGTGATCCCTGGAACTGGACCCTGGGCCAGAGCATGGGGCACTTGGCATGGACAGAGGTACCACAGAGCTGAAATCGTTCATCTCTTCTTTTATCTTGGTAACTTGCTTTTTGTTTCATCCTTGTACCAAACAAGAGTGCTATTCTGAAGGTGTTTCATTCGGTTTTTAAGGTTTTCTGCCTTCCCACCTTGCTGCCAGTGCTATACCCTGTGCCACCAGGCCTGACCTGGTGATGGCAGGTCCGTGTTGGGTCCTTGCTGCCAGGACACAGAGCTGGGCAGAGGGGCAGAGGCTTCTGCTCCAAACATGGTGTGTCCCTGCAAATGGAATGGAGAGTGACTCGAGGCAGCTCTCAGATGGGCAGCCACGTGCACATTCCATTTTTGCTTGCTAGCAGTGCCCAGCTCTGTCCATTTTATTGATGTCTCTTGCAAAGGGAAGGATTCTGTGCCTTCTGTACAGGACACCACTCAATATTTCCTTCCCCCTCGCCTCTCGTCTAATGTAGGCTACACCTCCCAAGTGAGGCAGAACAGACTGGAAACGTTGTTTGTCCCTGAAAGGTGAGCCCAGCTCCTTAGCAACGCCAAGGATGTTGTTCATTGTCTTCTGCAGGAGCCCATTCCATCCCAGCCACCACAAAGGCTTCCAGCAGGGATCCCTGCTAGCCAGTGACCGAGTGTGCACAGCCCCTGTGCTCCTGGCAGGCACTGTCACCTTTACAAATGGAGCACCGTGGTGGGCTGTGAAACACTCACTGGTGCACACACACGTGGCAGATGCTGCTCTCGGGATAGCAGAGGAGCTGCTGAGCCCCTGCTGGGAGCGTGCCAGCTCCATCCCCTGCACTGAAGAGCTTTATACTTTGAAGCCTTCCACGGCTTGCCCTGAGGGACCGCTGCTGAAGTGGTAATAAAATTCAGAACGAGCCTCAGAAAGTCAACTTGTTGGTTTCAAATGGGGTTTTTCATTATGAAGCGTCCCTTTAGCAGCCATATGTAGAGCTGCTCTGTCAAGACTGCCATGTTCCCCCTGAGAAAGGTGATTCAAAGTGAAAAGATAAATAGATGAAAGCACAGAGCTGGCAGGGAAAGTGAATTGTTCCTGTGAGCTGAATCTCCAAATGGCCCTTGGTGTTCTTCAGGTGAAGGGAAGGAAATCTGGGAGTAAATGTTGGTCACTGGGAGCTCCTTCTGGCAGTCTGTCTAGAAAATATGGCCAAGGCATTCCCTGCTCCCCAAGAACTGGCATTTTACTGGCATTAAAGATTGCAAACTGGGTGGTACATTTTAGGCTTTGAGCTCCCAGTCTGTGGATATTGACAGGCACAGTTAGAGTTGTGGTTATGGATGGAGCTGGTAACAACAGCAGGAATATGTAGCACCCCTGAAACATTTATAAGGAGCATGAAGTGCAACACCTCAGTGAGGCAGGTGAGCCCCTAAACTGAGGTAAGGCAGCTGGGAAGGTTGAGACTCAGTTGAGAGAGGAAATCATCTGCTCAGGGTTATGTTCAAAATTAAGATGCCAGCCTGAAGACAAAACATTTGGCTAGTGGGACATGGCTTTTACCACAACATACCTGTAAAAACAGTCTTTAATTACCTTAATGTATTCTAGTGTAACACCTCCCTTTCTCCCTTTGCTGTTTATTATCAGCAGTGCTTGTGTTGTTTGTATCAAAGGTTTGTGTTGGATGGGATTTTTCTTCTGAAATTGAAGGGCTTTTGAATATTGTGGGATATTGTGTTTTTCTCCAGCTCTCTGCCCACCTTTGGGGTGTGCAGTGACTGAAACAAGGATCCTTAAAGCTGAGCTCATCCTTTCTAACCTGCAGATCCACGTGGGCAGGTCAGCGTCAGTCCTGCTAAGGCCAGGGCTGGGCTGCACTTGCTGCAGCGAGGATGCCGTGCTTGGAATGGTGTCCATAAATATTTACACTGTGGAAAGGTCGATGGGAGAGAGCCCTGCTGTGCTGGAGGCCGTGCACATTGCCAGGGGCAGCCCCAGCCAGGCTGGCACGCAGAGGGCAGTGGGGAACCGGGGCAGAGAGGGGCCAAGCAACGTGGGCATCCAGCCAAGCGTGCCAGGAGCACCGAGAGTTTGAATGGTGTGAGGGAGAGCTGAGTGTCTTTCCGAGCAGCAAATACTGTCCTTTCCATGGTGGCAGCAAAGTCTGCAGCCAGGAAACTGCTCTGTGGACAGGTGTCTGAGGATTATCAAACCGTGCAGCGTGTTGAAGTGTCCTTATGCAGGTGCTCGCTTCAAGGCCACGCAGCTGAACCAGGCACGAAGGTTCCTGTGCTCCTGAGGGCAGTGCCAGGGTCCTGCTGCCATTCCCCGAGTGCTGGTGGCAGCCACACCAATGCCCCCCTGTCCCGAGTTCCCGGCTGAGCCTGCTGACATCTGCTGGGTCACGATGGGCATGAGCGTGGGCACCTCCTGACCACAGCGAGCACCAGCAGGAGCTACACTCACCCGAGCTGTCAAAATTACCTGGCATTTATAGAGGGAAGTGAATCACAGCTTTGTCATCTGGCTGTCCCTGGTCATATTTACAGCCATGAGGGAGCAGTGTCCTCGCCATCCTTTTCCTCCTTTTTCATGGAAGAATGCTGCTGTGAATGCTGTCACTGAAAGAAAAAGTTACAAGAGCTTCCTCCTAGGATCGGTTCAATTTAGCTTCATCACACTAGTGCAAAGAACATATTGCAGCTCTGTGGTGGCCTGTTTTTCTGGCTTTTATTAATCCAGAAACCTTAATGATGAACAACATTTGTGTCATTGTCTACACAAATTTAATTTGTTTATGCAGCAGTTCAGTTAATCCTGCAATCTGCTTTTCTCAAATGAGGACAGATAATGGAGACACCGTTCTTTACAGGTCTTCAGGCTTTTAAATTCTGATAAAATCAGGATTCTTCACTGGGTCTTGCCACAGCTCTGAATTAAGCCACTTTAAATGTAATTACTGAAGCTGGCTGTACATCAGGAACATCCATTAAAAGAATTGATTGACCATGCTGTTACAAGGAGGCATTTTATGAACAAACGATCGTGATGGGTCCAGAACTGTAATTTATAAAGGCAAAAAAGCAGGTAAATACTTTATTAGTGGTTAATGAGAGGTTCACAAGATAACTAAATTTCTTCTTTTTTTACCCAGCTACTTCAGGGAACCTTGGTCCATGGCCATCTATCACGATCGGTTTATTGATCTGCAGAAGGAACTGCGCCAAACCCTGATGTCAGAACAGGTAAGAAAAACAACCGGCGAGTGCATTTTATATTTGGGTAATTTGTTAGCGTTGTTCACTTTGATTTCTTCTCCCATCTTTATCCTGAAGCTTTATGTTTCTGTTTGCCTCTCTCTCCGGGGAAGCCTGAGCAGACTGTGTACATCACAGGGGGGGTCAGCACAAGTGTTCAGGTTTCTTGTTGGGGCATATTCTCAAATCTGCCAGTAGAACTTGAACTCACTTTGTTGTCCTTCACTGCAGTTTTGCATTATAGCTGCGATTTAGTACAAGTGCCCAGTGGAATCTGGAGCCTGGCTTGTCCAAGTATCCCCTTGGGTTTAGGGGGGCCATCCTACACCTGTCTCAGCTGAGCCCGAGGGTAGGTTTTTCAACAGTTCCCCACAGGGAATGGCTTTTGTAGTCCAAAGGGTGAAAGCAACTGGCTTTTTCAGTGATAAGTGGATTTCCTGAATACGGGTGAAATTCAAATGTTTGCTGTGCTGTTTACAGCTTTGGCACTAGCACCATAGACAGAGGCAGAAAGCGTCAGCAGCCTGCCCAAAATCCAAAGTCAGCGTGCTCCGTGGGGACAGCTAGTCACAGCAGCAGCCCCAGAGCTGCCTCCCCCACCTCCTGAGCCACGTCTGGCTGATCCCAGACTGGGTCTGTGGTGTGATCTCCGCGCTAGCTGGGACCAGTTCACCCTGCCCCTGCTCACACGGCTTCTGCCTTTGTTTAACCCCATCGGTTCCACACGGTGGCACTGGGCTTTAAACGTGCGCTCACGTTTTTTTTTTTTTAGCTGTGTGGAAAATGAGCAGAGTTGGGTGTAAATGGAGGCAGAGTGGCAGGAGGAAGGGAAGTCGTGGTGCCCAGGGCCCAGTGCTGCCGCATCCCAGCTGCCTCCTCCCCAAAGGGCTCCGAGCAATTTGCCTCCTGTTGTCCTGACCCAGAAAGGGCCTCGGTGCAGTTTAATTGGGGTTCTCTTGGAAGACCTCTGTGAAAGAGTACAAAATTAAGTTCTGTGCAGAATGAAAGGCCTGATGTGAAGTGTTTTTCTTGCCATCATTCAAATATATTTCTCGTGCTGTAAGTGTGAACAACTTGAGAGAAAGGGAAATTTGAGCCCTACAAATGAGGGACTCACTTGCTTTACCCTGTCTTTGTGGCATTAGTCCTGACACAGAGGACTGGATGCAGCTCTGTGTGAGTCAGGATTGTTCCTATGGACATAGGTGATGGCATCTACATCTCAGTGAGGATTTGGCTTTTTGGACTTTTATTTTTTTTCACGGTGATTTTAACTATATTTACTAAATGTCACCATTTGTGTTTTCACTGGGTGTTCCTTCTGGGCACATTGCCACATCCAGAGTAGGGACCATGTGCTCATGGAGTATCTCTTAAATGCCTCAAGACTGGTTGTATTTCTATATGAAGTAAGAGACCTACTATCTTTGCCTCCTGTTGCTCATATTCTAGCTTGTTTCAGCACGCAGAAAAATTACTAATGAAGTGTAAAAACGAGGGAAAGAGATGTTTAAGAGCTGTGGGCATAAGCGCACAGAAGTCGGGTATTTCTGGTTAGTTTCTAGAGAAAGTGGACATCGGCGTCCTGCAATGGGGGTAATATTTACAGAGACGTTTGCTGATGGAAGCGCTAAGCGCTCGGCAAAGCCAGTTGTGTTGTGGGGCCAGGGGCCGTGCGTTCAGCCCTTGCAGGAGCCCGGAGCCGTCACCCGAGGCTGGCCTGGCAGCGCGGGGCGTGTTTACCCCTGGGGGATCGCAGCCATGTGTTTGTGCAGCTCCGGCGATGCAAACATGCAGATGGCAGGGCTGGGCTGGGGGGCTGCACCTCCATCAGCTGCCGCCTGCTGCCGCTCGCCGGGGGCACACGTGCCGCGCCAGCCCTTCCGGAACAGCGCTTGTCCGGCAGGAATAATGGCCTGCTGCTCGGGCTGCAGCTGGGCCGTGCCCAGGCTCGCTCCAAAGCCACAGTCCATACACCGGCCACGGAGGGGGGCGGAGTGCGGAATTCCTCTGCGAGACCCCCCCTCCCGACAGGCCGTGTGGGGACAGCCAGAGGTTCCACGCGGGTTTGTTCCACGCGGGTTTGTTCCACACAACCCTGGCACCTGTGGGAGGGAGAGGGGAACAGTCGAGCATCACCGGCCCCAGGGTGCACTCGGTGCCGCCAGTATGAGCCCCACTCCGTGCCCCCCGTGTCCCAGCCCCGACACGTTTTTCAGGATGTTTTGGGACCCTGTGTGCGTGCGGGCTGTGCCCCGAGTCGCGTTCTGTGTCTGACAGCTCTGTCCCCGCAGGTGTCCCCCGGCGCCGAGCAGCGCCCTGAGCACAGACCCGGGCCGCCGTCGCTGCGGGAGCCCGTGCTGCGCTACCTGCGCCGCCACCGCGCCCAGCTGCCCATGTACGCCCCGACCGACCCGTACCGACTGCCGGCTGCAGGTAAGAGACACGGCAGCGGGGGCTCGGGCACTGGTGGGGGGGATCTCGGTGTGCACCCCCAGGCAGTGATGGGGCTCTCAGTGTGCAGCCATGGCAGTGTTGGGCGGGGGGGAGTCTCAGTGTGTACCCCCCGGCAGCGATTTGGGGTCTTGGTGTGCAGCCCCGGCAGTGACGGGGGGCTCCTGGTGTGAAACTTGGCAGTGACGGGGTCTCAGTGTGCAGCCCCGGCAGTGATTGGGGGTCTCGGTGCGGAGCCCCATCGGTGATGG